TTGTTGAAGACTTTTAGACTCGACCATACACTATTTTCCTTTACAGACTTGAAACGATAGAGGGAGCTAGGATTCCGGGGAATAATCCCCAGGATACTCGGTCGGATGGCACCCATTAATTGTTAGAAAATAGATGGGACGGTCTCAACCCTCAAGTGGTAGACGGTTATACTAAAACAAACCGCTATTGGTAGATCTCTTTATTCTTTAGACACCTCCACTTGTAAATAAGCATCAATAAGGTCCAACTTTGCGTAGATCTTCCCACGATTTATCTTAGTGAATAAATCTGTGGGAACTGACAGTGTGTAATGATATTTAAGGGTTGTGTTAGGGCCTGTAGAGAGATCTGTGTGTTGTGCCATTTGCCTTCTGGATAACCACAGTTGTTGCAGCCCAAACAGAATAAGGGGCAGGTGTGACAACTCCTAGTTGTAGGCGGTTTAATTCTTCATCAACTTTTGATAATGGCACTGGTCTCTTCGGACGGGAAACAGGTTTACTTCCTCTCCAACCGCATGGTTGCTTTCATTGCGGAGCACAGACCCAGCACAAGCTAAATGGTCAAAAGCTTCGTCATTAACTACGTTGCATATGCTTACGGTTCTGGGGGTTGCCTTATCAGATGGTATATGGTACTTAGCGGAATATCAGCTCTATGTAGCTGGTCGACCCAACCATAGTGGATGTCGATTCACGGAAAGACACTTCATAATCTGGTCCCAACAAACGTAGGTAAACATCACACGTTGCACGACGCTTCTGTTTTGTCAGCTTTATGACTGAACTACCCGTTTTAATCTAAAATTTCAGAGAGATAATGATGTCTAATGTATCTATTTGCAAACCAAATTAGTGCCCAATTTCATCTCACTTGTGGTTGCGCTCTAACAACTCTATTCGGCCAAACGAATTTATGCGGGATTTCTGATGTGTTGGTCGATTTTTCTTCGTTTGACAGAATCCATCCTTGTAACCAATGGATTCACAATATTATTTGATGGGACAGATCCGTACGAAATGCCACGCACCACAGCATCAGCCCGAAGCCGAAGGATTATTCATTCGTTGAATTAAGCTCGGGTAAGATGGGCTAGATGAAGCAGTGTTGGATAGCTGCTGGACTACATGAACTTCGGGGCGTTCGCAACCACTAGACTGAACTATTGAGGTATCGCTCAATCAGTCAGCAACAACGTAGGACCAGGCACATATGCATCGGTCCAAGTTGTCATACCTCATTAACACAACAAGATGAACACCAGATTCATAAAAGTAGTTAATTTAGAGGTGATGATATACAAAAGAAAGATTGTATTTAAGGATATAGTACAGGAAGAAAGAATTAGTTCGTAAAAAGAAAGATATGAAGCGATTTTAATCCCTTAGTTTAAGGGAAGACAGAGTGTATACACCGACTCCATTGTGATCGATTCTGAGCCATGTCACCAAGACTCTCCAACCATCGGTTACGATAGTCACGCGGACCCCAACCAAGTAGTCTGCATCTACCAACATGGCTCAGACTAGAATTTAGTGACTTCAAGTACTGATGCCACGTTTTGGTTTGGCCGCCCGTAACTTTCTTACAACCATTCCGAACAACGGTTAGCATTGCACATCGTGGTAATCGGTGTTCAGGCATACGCAACAAGTGGCCCAACCATCATTCGATGAAGATTCATAACCTCGTCAACTGATTTGCCATCATTCCCTAATACCCTACATTTAAACCCACTAATACTTACCCGGTGATGCCAGCAATATTTCTAAGACATCTATGGTCAAATACTAGTAGCTTACGAGTGTCATGTTTCGCTGCCGTAAATTAAAACAGAACGAACTGCCACGCAGTATACTCGTCCTTTTATTGATAGACGGATATCTCGCCTTCGCCATAGGTGATGTAAGTTGGCAAAAGCCAGACGAGCTTTTCGAATCCGTGCTGAGATTTCGTCAGACACCAAACCATTAGGGCTGATCAGACTTCCAAGATAAGTGAAGTTGTCATCGCGTTCAACTACTTGACTCCCTATCCTTAGTTCAGGTGTTGACGCAGACCAGTCCTGAAGCAACAACTTGCATTTAGAGGGAGAGAAGCGCATTCCAAACATTCTGGCATTGTTGCTTAGTGCTACCAGAAGACTGGATTTTATCAGCGTCTTCACCGAACAGGACTATATCATCTGCGTATTGTAAGTCGATAAGTGGACCTCCTGGAATAAGATCAATACCCGAGAATTCAATAGATGAGAATGTTATTTCCATCAATAGGTCTATGATGAAGTTGAACAAAAATGGTGAAAGTCGACATCCCTGACGGACACCACTTGAGATTGCAAAAGCAGATGACAGTTCGCCATAAACTCTGACTCGACTAGTAGTGTTCGAGTAAAGAGCCTTTACAAGGTTTATGTACTTCTGGGGTACGCCTTTCAATGACATACACTGTTACAGAATCTCGTGATCTACGGAGTCAAATACTGCTTTTAAGTCGGGAAAGACCACCATTGTCGGACGTCGATAAGTACGTCTGTGTTCTAGAACCTGACGAATGGTGAATATGTGGTCGATGCAGCCACGACTAGGTCTAAAGCCAGCTTAATTCTCTCGTGTTTGCATTTGACGAATCTTAGTTAAGCGTCTGATAATTATCGAGGCTAGTATTTTAGATACTATATTAGTTAAACTAATCCCTCTGTGGTTGTCACAGGATGATTTTGACCCTTTCTCATATATTGGGACGATAAGTGATAGGATTACGTGGAACTCCCAGTTTCTACCTAAAATATTAGTCAACCTAATCACTAAAATTGGACCACCATCCTTAAAGATCTCTGGAGCCAATCTATCTGGACCAGTTGCTCTTTCTCGTTTCAGATTAACTATGGGCTTTTGGATTTCTGCTAGATTTGGGAGACGTACTTCGATGTTCCATTCACACTATCTGAAAATGGATTGTAGTTGTAGAGTAGCTGAAGGCCAGCCGAACTGTTCTCTGAAATGTTCCGCCCATCGTTCTAAACATCTGGACTGAAACAGATGAGGGTGTCGTCTTTTTCCAAAATAGTCTGACTTACATTTGACTTATTATTTCCAGTTTCTTTTATTAGTCTGTGATCGGTCTCTTGATTGGATCGACATAGTAACCGCGTTCTAGTGTTATAAAATTTCTGAGACTGCAAATGAGAGCTTTAAACTGACCTTCAGTAAACAACATCAGCCCAAAGCTTTCGTATTCGTGGTAAGTGACACTCACATGCGTAGAAAAGTCAGTGTCTTCGTCCGTAATCCGTTTACAGCATCTATAACTTGTATTGAATAACGAGGGTTTATCTTCAAATTGTTGACTTAATGACTGAATAGTGTTAAAAAAATGAGCGGTTTTGTGGCCTAATCAAATTGTACTACCTATCTAACTCACTTGATCCCAATTTTCGAAGTAGCAGCCAAACTTTCTAAGTATCATCTTGATAGGCGAAATCAAATTTAAATTGATCCTCATAACGCCAAAACCACATGTTGAAGGTAGCATTAGCATCGGGATCGTAATGAAATTCGGCAATATTGTTTGCGGTTCCATTATTTGACTGTACGGTAGTAGAAATAGATATGCTAAGTTAAGAAGTAGGCGTAACATTCGTATCTTTTAACATCTAAATAACTTTTAGCTGCTGTTCTATCATTACTTCCCCATTTGCAGGATCCGTGCTTGCACTAGCCTAGTGACCGTTAGTATGTTCAAGGGAGTTACGATATCACTTAGGACCAGCGAAAGTCAACAGGACAAGCTAAGCTATCCCATTACACCGCAGCCCTGCCGACTAAACGGAAAATATCCGATTCATCCGGGAAAATATGTATAACACAAGCAGCCCGTAAGAACCAGCGAACAAACACGCATTTTATTCTTATATATACAACACAACAATATCCTTGAAAAACGTCAAAAAAGAGCTTACTGAAAGAGGAATCAAACCAATAACATTTTTAATCATTCCCAGGTGAGACACAAACCGAAGGTAAAAGTGGATGTGTTTATAATTTATAGCGTGAATAACTATTTTTGTACTTGTTACATCCTATAGACTAAATCACGAATCAGAACACCGACTTATGTGACCTTAGCCTATCCCAAACTAATGACATGTTAACTGGCATAAGCAGCCTAAAGTCAACTCCATAGTGGTTCATCTTAACTAGCGCTACCTGTTGAGTCGAGAACTCAACCTCATGTTTCACTGAATGAATCATGTATTCAGACATCCGCAGTTTAAATACAAGTAAATCAGACTGCATCATACTATAAAATACAAAATAACAATAACACGAGATCAAGCCGAAAATGGCTGTGAGTGTGAGAGACTGTGTCTAATAAATTGGGAATAAGTTAAGAATTGTAAATCGTATCACAATACCCAACAGGTCAAATGAAAGGAATACGAATACTTATATTCAGAAAAATATTCCAAAAATTATCCTGTTAAGTCTAATACTATTCTTGCACGTGAAATGGTGTCGTTTCCCTACTGGTCAATATTTATTTCACGTGTCATCTTCCTGTTGATCAATATTCACGGTAGTCCTAACTGTATAAATATGCATTTGTCGGTAAAGTATCATTCCGATTCTTATTCTCCTGACCCCATAAACAATTTCATCTACAGTTCATGTTCTTATATATTGGAGATTGGGGAATAGTATTGCTGTCGTACTGGGATATATGAAGTTGGTGAGTCGGTAGTAATTAGAGTAGCCACCCCGCGGTCCACAATGTAACCTAAAATAATTCATTATCACATAAAGCGCCCTTTGCAATAATATAACCATTCATTAAGATTCATTAATACAATGTATGCAACCCATTAGTTATAGGTAGTCAATACAGTATTCAAATAAACAAATGTATCTATTTTGAACTCATAAAATCGATATATATATATATATATATATATATATATATATATATATATATAGATAGATATAGATAGATAGATAGAATGACTGACTGGAATGTCGATTTGGATAACAAAAGACGTTTGATCTGTCAATGTTTATGTCCATGTTTAATTGACGGAACACTAAACGATGTTAGAGACGAAAACCTTTATTCAGAAGAAGAAGAAATATTCTTAACTTCTAAAGCTAGAGCCTTATCGAACCTCTTGTTTTTAAAAGACGATGTATTTGAAATTGAAGCATCAAATTTGTACGAAAAGAAAGCAATTACATTACAACCATGGAACAGTGAACACAACTTAAAGAATCAACATTGTGAAGAATTTCAATCACCATCTCAAGTCATAAAGAGATATTTACAAGATGAAGCTAAGCAAATCAATCGTTATATCTTGATGACTATCTTATATAACGTTACCGGACCTATAGTATGATATATTTCTTGCTGAAATATAAATGTATACATGGTTCATTGATTGTGTTACTTAATTACTTACCTACGTCTGTTACTCTCAATGAAGCATAGGTCGCCGACCAGCATTCTCCAACCCATAGTCTTGGGCCTTCCTTCCTAGTTCTATTCAATTTTTGCTCATTCTTCTCATATCTGTCCCCATTTTTCATATTAATGTGTTCTTTTGTCTTCCATTTCTCATTAGCAGTGTCAAGTCACCTAGACTGGTGGCCACATTACAACATGATCGATAGCATTCGATCTGCACTAATAAGGACTTCACATACATGACATTGGTCACCACCCAGTGATCAGTCAATTGTGATTACATCTCAGTCCTAAAGGAAGTCGGTCGCGGCCCGGATAGCTCAGTGGTAACGTTTTTGACTGTGAAGCTGGGTGACAAAGGATTGAACCCGTCAGGAGCACCAGGTCCCTCAAGATCACAGGTACGCCTTGCTGACGAGTGCCAAGTAGCACGAAACCCGGGTCCAGGGTCTCCTGTCGACGACCTCCAACCACCAACCAACTGTATCTCATTCTTCCCCCCAGATGTTGATGTCTTCATAATCCAGTCGATCACCAGGAGAAAGAGAAAGGGTGGGAGTAAACAAACTTGCCTAATACCGGTTTTAACCTCGAACGAGTCTGTCAGTTGTCCTCCATGCACGATTGTGCAGTTTAATCCATCATAGGAATTCCGTATGATATTGACTATCTTCTCAAACACGCCGTATCGTTGAAGAAGCTTCCATGGCGTTGTCCTGTCCACACTATCAAGTGCTTTCTCGCAGTCAATAAAGTTGATGTAGAGTGATGAATTCCATTCAATTGATTGTTCCACAATGATCCGTAGAGTTGCGATTCGGTCTGTACACGATCTATCCTTACGGAATCCTGCCTGTCGGTCTCGAACTCGGGCGTTTACAGAGTCCTTCATTCCGTTTAACAATACCCTGTTGAAAACTTTTCCTGGTATTGATAGAAGAGTGATGTCCCCGTAGTTATCACACTTGCTGAGATCACTTTTCTTTGGTATTTTGATCAAAAGTCCTTTCCATTCTGTTGGTAATTGTCCTTCATCCCAAATCTTGCTGAAGAGAATGTGGAATAGCCTTGTAGTTACTGCTACATCTGCTTTCAGTGCCTCTGCTGGAATGTTGTCTGGTCCTGCTTCTTTGCTGTTCTTGATTTGTCCATTGGCTATGCTGATCTCTTCAATTGTTAGTGGGCCTGTGGGTAAAATACCATTACAGTCACCTTAAACTATTCTGAGAAATAAGTGTAGAAAAATTAAATGTTATTTGTTTATGATGAAGATTATATTGATAATTTCACCCAAGTTAATAAAGCAGCAGATTAAATTCTCTATAAAGTTGTCTAGGGAAATGATAGCCTATAAGTTAAAGAAATTTTAGGAATACTGAATTTAACTACTTATGCCTGTTACTATTTATGGAGTAACATAGGCTTTTCACCATCATTCTCCATCCAACTCTGTACTGGGCAATCCTTTCCAGTTGCTATTGATGCTTTCCATGTTTGCTTCCAATTCCCGGTACAGTGTTTTCTTTGGCTTTCCTCTTTTCCGTTTCCCTTTAAAATTTCAAGTAAGTGTTCGCCCGGTGATGCAGTTTGATGATTCCCTTAATATGTGTACTATCCAGTTCCAACGTCTCCTCAGCTGGGAGCTGGTTTGTCTTCTCTCACAGTAGGGATATTCGGCCAACAGACGTTCAGTATCTTACGTAGACAATTGCTAATAAATACTTGTAACTTTTGATGATGGTTGTGGTAGTTCTCCATGTTTCAGCTCATACAGTAGAACTGTCTTGAAGTTGATGTTGAAGATTGTGAGTTTGATATTTGTTGACAGTTGTTTTGAGTTCTACATGTCCTTCAACTGTAGTAATGCGGTCCTTGCTTTGACAATCCTCGCGTTTGCGTCTACATCAGATCCTCCACATTCATCGATGATGCTACCCAGAAACATGAAGGATTCCACATCTTCCATTGTCTTTCAGAATTGTTTTATTGTTACAAATATATTCAATCTGGTTTTCTGTGTTGTGGTCCAGTGAGACACATGTAGCTTTGTGTATGCCTTTGTGTGGGAATATTTTGCCACCTATAACTAATTTGTTGAATGCACAGAGATTTGCAAGTGTTTCCTCATTCTCGTTGCTTTCTCCCAGTCAGTCCATATCGTCCCATGATATCTTCATATCCGGTGTTGTCTATTCCGACTTTGGAATCCAGATCTGACATCAGGATGCTGAGGTCCTTCCTTGGGTGCTTCTCTATTAATGATTGCTGCCTCTCTTTGTTGTTGTCGTTGCTATCATTGGTGGGTGCATAACATTGAATAACATTCATTGCGATCCCCTCCTTCTTCGTATTGAATGATGCTTTGATGATTCTGGATCCGTAAGATTCCAATAAATAACTGCACTAATATTAACAAGTATATGAAATCTTAATCATTAAGCCATAGCTTTATCCTCGTTTTTGTGATATAACATTTGGTCATATCTCTTGCTTACTTTAATACTCATGTTACCCTTAGAAAACATCTTTAATTTATAATCAATAACGCTATTCAACGTGATCAGTGTGCTACATCACCAAATTGTTCATTTACGCACTAGTATTGTTCCTTTCTTATCTGATGAGAATCATAATTTAATTAGTAATTAAGCTAGAGAACAAAGTAGAACTCAAAAGTGTACTAAATAAACTTTACATTTCATAAGTTAAACAATACAAGAAGAATTTTTCAATTGGAGTTGAAATACAATTTATATATAATATTTACTATGTATATGAACTATAGTGTCGGTTACTATGTTAAGCCCATATACCTTATTTTAACTTCTGAAGTCAGGTTTTTACCATTCGCTTATCAACCTTAACTGTTTTTATATAAGCATATATGTGTGTACATCTTATCCTACTAACACCACATGTATATAGTTTATTTTTGTGACTATAAATATTGATTAACGCTTAATTAAATGAAGGTGACTCGCCCGCCATCTCCAGTGCTTGTCATTTCGCTTCGTCCCGCTGATTATCTGTACAGATCAATGAGTGTACAAAATATACATATTCAAAAACCCATTCACTTATTTGACTTATTTAATCCCGTTATTCACTAATGCAGTTTAAATCGATAATTATATACGAGGATAGGCGACATATATATATATTGGTGGAGTTTTGTTCTCTGAGCTGGATGGTTTGGTCGTGGAGTACTGATGATGTCGTTCAGAAGAACGATGAAAGCTCCGCGACCAAACCATCTAGCTCAGAAAACAAAACTCCACCAAAATCATCCACCTAAGCTACAAATCTTCTCCACCATCTCGACATATATATTTCAATAACAATCATTCAATAGCGATCAACATATGATCTAATTGGAATCAGATCATGGGTCAATAAAAGACTCGAACATAAATACTAAAATTAGTGGTTTAGTGACTAGGAATTATTTTATTGATATTGAACTTTATGTAATTTTCATATTATTTTACTTGTTTGTCACATATCAATAGGCGGTTACAATATCAATTCTCAACCTTGACAAGAAGTGATTTAGACATTTTACAGTTTGATTATTTTGATAGCGATATATCTAAGTAATTATCAAAAATTAAGGGAACTGAGGTAAACTCTACCACAATTTTCAATGGTGTTGAAACATTGTATTGGCGAATAAATGATAAAAGAAATAACCGCAAATTCTACTCCAAGTATTTTCAGAAAATGTTGATGTGGGATTCATGCTTTTAAGGTACTGGTAGTAATAAATGTCAAAATCCAATTGTCTAAGCGGATGTTCGGCAGTATCAACTTTGTTATATGCTAAATTATTACTGAATATTGAACGTGATGTCAGTTTTGTTTTGATTATATTGCTGGAAAGCTACGCGTAACAAAAAGATAAAAATGGCACCGGGATACGACAAGGTCATCAGTCGTCAGTTCATCACTATTAGCTTCTTTAGATGTAATAACAGCGGTATGAGTTTCGCTAAATTAATCATATTGATTCCAATAGTGATCATTTGATATTTCTTTTAAATCTTAACGATCTTAGTTACATTTTGGTTAGTTCAGATGTATCATGATGACCATATTAAACATTACTCTGTGTGTAGTTATATAATACATTAATATAACTGAATATATTTCGTCTTTTCAATAGTTGAGATCATGAGTCAATTGGAGCTAGACCACCATGGAAAACCTGGGAGAACTGGACGGCCGTTTCGTCCTATATATATATATATATATATATATATATATATATATATATATATATATATATATATATTATTGTTAAGTAACTAAACTATATATATTCATGTTTGTATTATCATAAGCTTTATTTTTACTTATGAACTGTTATTATACGATTTACCATTCTTGAGTTCTGCCCCAGTCTATCAATTACTATCTCCCACATTCACAGCTACTTTCAGCTAAATCTTGTTCAAATTTTGTTTCGTATTTTATGGTACGATTTAGCCTGTTTAGTTTGTATAGAAACCCAGTTTATTTGAAATAAATGATTTATATTGCGGAAGCTGAGATTAGTGTTCAGGACTAAACAACCAGGAAGAACTAGGTAGGAAGAAGGAGCGATAAGGACTCTAAACTGCTGGTATGGATTTTATGTGTCATTCGTCCGGTCGATAATTCGCTGCGCTCTAATTGGCGGTATCATTACGTTATACAGTAATAGGACATATAGGATACAAGTTATAATATTCTATCACTTTATTTTGTTGTTGTTGTTGTTGTTGTTGTTGTTGTTGAATATCCATTACTTGACTTATAAAATGTAAGATTTCTTAATTGTTTCTCTTTTAAATGTAAATTTTCCGCTTCTTTTCTTAACATTACTTCATAAGCTAATTCAGCTTTTTGTTGTGCTTCTAAATCCGCTTTTAATTCATCTTCAATAAATTGATT